CAGCACTCATAGACACAGACATACCGTTCCCCTGCCTCAAACCCCTAACCCCATGCACACCCCTAACCTCCTTCTGGTGCATATCCATTGTGATGATGTGAGTGAAGCCGGCCTTACAGATCAACTTCGCGAGGAGTTTGGCAACAATGGCGCCCCTCTTCCGCATCTTCGACTGCTTGCCGTACGGCAGGTATGGTATGACTCCCACAATGTTCTTGGCTGAGGAGGTCTTACACGCGTAGGCCATAATCAAGAGCTCCATTATGTTGTTGTTCACGTCCTTACCGCCCGTTTGGATCAGATAGCAGTCCCGTCCCCTCACGGAGTCCCCGATGTCCAGCACTGTCTCCCGATTGGTCGAGTGGTAGAGGGACTGGGAGGCCAGTCGTACGCCCAACCGGTTGCTGATCTCTTTGGCTAACTCGCGGTGAGAGTTGCCGGCGATTAGTATCATATCGGATGAGGTGCCGGCCATTGGGTCCGCTGTTGGCGATGTGGTATGTCTTCACTGGCGATGACTATCACCGCTTCGTCAATGGATATGTGATTATTGTTTACAAAGTGTTGTGCGAAACGTGTGAACGCTTTGTCCCACAGATGTCGCGATGTGTTCGCAGTTGTCTCTCTCTCTCACTCACTCACTCACTCACTCCACATTTATTATAACACTTATACCCTAATTGTTTGATAAGTTTATAGTGTCTAACATACTGTCCCCTAAACTTGAATCCAATTAACCAATTAATCGCTTATTCCTATGACATGATCACCGGATTAGGTCCAAGGCTTCTTTGACGTGCCCGTCGACAACCTGAGAGCGTCGCCATTCCTACTGCAGTACATTCAGGAGCAGATCCCGGACTACCGGAACGCCGTTATCGTAGCCAAAGACCCGGGCTCTGCCAAGAAGGCCACGTCCTATGCCGAGCGCCTACGGCTCGGTATAGCCGTCCTTCACGGCGAGCAAAAGGAGTCGGAGTCGGACGAAGTGGACGGCCGCTACTCACCGCCTCCTGTCGAGGAGCCGGGTATTAAGACGTTTGACGTGGGCCTGGATCCCATGCCCACACAGGCGGCTAAGAATAAGCCGCCGATGACTGTGGTCGGGGACGTCGGCGGACGGATAGCCATTATGGTGGACGACATGGTGGACGACGTGCAGACGTTCGTGTCGGCGGCCGAGGTGTTGAAAGAGAGGGGCGCCTACAAGATATACGTGTTGGCCACCCATGGACTGCTCAGTCTGGACGCGCCCCGACTCATAGAGGAGTCGTACATCAATGAGGTGGTCGTCACCAACACCGGTATGTCTCGAGAGACCTCTCTCTCTCTCTCTCTCTCCACTCATAAACCTATAGCTCTCTCGTAGAAAACCAATTCTTAAACTGAATTAACTATTTCTTACGATTAGTTTTAATACAGCGATTAAAATGCAATTTATTTATTAGACTTAAAACTTATGCAATGTTTGTGTGTTTGACATCCAGTTCCTCATGAGGTGCAGAAGATGCAGTGCAACAAAATCAAGACAATCGACATATCGGTGCTGTTGGCCGAAGCCATACGTCGGATACACAACAAGGAGTCGATGTCTTATTTGTTCAGAAATGTCACTCTCGAGGACTGATCTGTGGTTGCCATCGACAACAGTATTACTATTTACTATTGAAACGATTGTTCAAAACTTTTTGCGGAAAATATTTTTTATTTGTTTTGTAAACCCTATAAATGTATTCATAGTTTAATTACTTTCTCTATACTATACCGTAATTACAAATTGTATTAAAAGATCTGCATGTTGTCTCTCTATTGATATGTAATCTCAAAGCTATTGTTTAATTAGACTTAATTTTAAACTTTATGGTATTATTATTATTACCGTACTTTCAATTGAAATGCCATTAAAAATACGTTTTCTACGATAATTGTATTGACAGTAAACCAAATGTAACTTTGTTTTCGCACTGATTTTATTTTAAATGAGAGATTTTATTGATTAAAATAAAGTAATTGTTTTACAAACTTATGGATCAAATTATTTTTATTTTAAAATTAACACAAAAATTTAATTCTTAAAAAGCAAACCAAATGAAAATCAAACAAATCATTAAAAATCAATACAATCGGAGTACAAATACATTTAAAAAGTCCATTAAATGTTTGACTAAATTAATGAATTGGCATTAAAAGTGGATTCAATTTATAAATCTAATGACAATCAAAATCAAAAACTGAACACACATTGAGTGCAAACATACCGTTCCCTTAAGAGCCGCACATAAGGCACTCGTCCTTATTCTGTAGGGAACACAACATCACCTCTTCGGCCGTCGGCTTCGGCTTATCACCGGATCCGTTGACACCATTGGCCGCCACATCGGCGGTGCTCTTAGCGATCAGTTTAGTCTTATCGACCGTAAATTGGATGGCATTGGCGGCCGGTTTTGTCCTCAGGTAATACATACCGGTCTTGAGGCCCAGTTTCCAGCCATAGAAGTGCATTGACGTGATCTTAGCCATGGATGGCTCAGCGATATGGACGTTGAGGGACTGGCTCTGGTCGATGTACGCGCCCCTGTCGGCCGCCATCTCCAGTATGCGCTTCTGCGAGATCTCCCAAACAGTTTTATACAGATCTTTGAGGTCTTTGGGAATGGCGTCTATGGTCTGAACGGATCCGTGCTTTGCGATGATCTCCATCTTCATCTGTTCCGACCACAGGCCGCGTTCGGTGAGGTCTCGGAGCAGGTGATGGTTCACCACCTGTTGTGGTAATCAATAAAAATTCAAATATTATATCAATTAGTGATTTATGACAACAAAAACTACACAAAAAGCTAATCAATAAATACCTGAAACTCTCCGGAAAGCACTCGACGGGTGTATATGTTTGAAGTGTAGGCCTCTATGGACTCGTTGTTACCCAATATCTGTGCGGTGGAGGCGGTGGGCATCGGCGCCAACAGTAGGCTATTCCGGATGCCGTGTTTGGCGATCTTGGCCTTCAGCGCCTCCCAGTCCCACAAATCGGTCGGCTTTCGGCCCCACATCTCGTACTGAAGCACACCCTTCGACACGGGAGAGCCCTTATAGGTCTCGTAGGGGCCGTCCCTTTCGGCCAACTCGCACGAGGCCTCCAACGCCCCGTAATATATGGTCTCAAACACCTTGATATTCAACTCCTTGGCCTCAGGACTCTCAAAGGGCTGTCGCATCAAAATGAAAGCGTCGGCTAATCCCTGAACGCCAATACCGATCGGTCGGTGCCTTTTGTTGGAGCGCTCGCACTCCGGCAGCGGATAATAGTTGACATCTATTATCTTATTCAGGTTTTTGGTCACGATTTTGGTCACCTCCCGGAGCTTCTGGAAGTCGTACGTACGGCTGGTTTTGTCGACAAACCTGTTGACCGCAATGGACGCCAGATTGCAGACCGCGATCTCGTCCGGCGAGGAATACTCGACAATCTCTGTGCATAAGTTCGAGCACTTAATGGTTCCCAAGTTTTGTTGATTGGATTTCCGATTGCAGTGGTCTTTGTACACCTGCGCGCACCGGTAGGGGACAGACAGTTAGACACAATCAAACATCTCATTGGTGTCCATACATACCATATACGGCGTTCCCGTCTCGATCTGGGCCTCGACTATCGCGAACCACAGTGTCTGCGCCCGCACCTGACGTGTGAAGCGCTTCTCCTTCTCGTACTTCTCGTACAGGCGCTCGAACTCCTCGCCCCACGTGTCGAACAGGCCGGGACAGTCGTGCGGACACATCAGCGACCACATGGCGTCCGCCTCCACGCGCTTCATGAACAGGTCGGGCACCCAAAGGGCGAGGAATAGGTCGCGAGCCCTCTGCTCCTCGGCGCCGGTGTTCTTACGTAAGTCGAGGAACTGGAAAATGTCTGAATGCCAGGGCTCGACGTATATGGCGAACGCACCTGTAGTTCAAACAAAAATCACATTTAAACACAACGAAAACAAAGTCTAAAAGCGTGTAATACCGGGCCGTTTGTTGCCGCCCTGATCCACATAACGGGCCACATTGTTATAGCACCGGAGCATCGGCACCAACCCATTGGACGTGCCGTTTGTGCCGTTGATTAGAGTACCGGACGCCCGGATACAGTGGACATTGAGACCAATACCTCCCGCGGCCTTCGAGATAACGGCGCACTGCTTAAGGGTATCGAAAATACCTTCAATCGAGTCCTCGGACATCGTTAACAGGAAACAAGAGGACAGTTGCGGTCGTGGAGTGCCTGTCATATACAGTAAGAGCACCGGTATTAAGGGGAACGGGTGTTACACACATCTCAATGACATACCGGCGTTGAACAGTGTGGGCGACGCGTGAGTGAACCACCGCTCGGACATCAGGTTATAGGTCTCAATGGCGGCGTCGATGTCGTTGTCATGGATGCCGACCGCCGTCCGCATGAGCAGATGCTGTGGTCTCTCCGCTATCTTGCCGTTGATCCTCAAGAGGTAACTCCGTTCGAGAGTCTTGAAGCCGAAGTAGTTGTAGTGGAAGTCGCGGTCGTAGATAATGGCAGAGTTGAGGCGCTCGGCGTTCGCCATCACCACAGCGTACGTGCGCTCAGAGATCATGGGCGCCGACCTCCCGGTCACTTCATTCACCATTGTGTGCAAGTCGTGGATCACATCCGAGAAGTTCTTTTTGGTCTCTTTGTGGAGGTTTGAGACGACTATACGGGCGGCGAGTTTGGCGTAATCGGCGTGTCTTGTGGTCATTGTCGCCGCGATCTCCGCCGCCAACTCATCCAATTGGACAGTCGTTACGCCCGAATACAGACCCGCTATCACCTGGTGGTCAGAGGGGAACGGGAGGCAAGGGATGGCATATGAGATAATGGTTACCAATCAATGACTTAATGATTATAATCAACGGTCTCTCACTCTCGCACACACACACATACCACTAATTATCACCGAAACTGATCCATACCTTCAATGTGATGGCCGTCGGGTCCACGAAATTCATGTCCAACTCATAGCAGAGTTTAGCGATTCTTGACGTGATTTTGTCAAACATTACCGACTCGTGCCTCCCGTCCCGCTTCACGACATACATCGCCCCAGCGGCGCCTCTGCCTCCCTGGCCACCGCCACCGCCACCACCACCACCGGTACCGGCGCTAACACTCCCGGCGCTGAGACTACCGGTGCCATCGGTGGCCGCCACTTGAGTGGTGGTACTACTGCTGATCGCCATGTGTTCAGTCGTTTTGGTATAGAAAATGGTGTTAAAAATAATTGCAATTAAAACTGAATTTGTATTCAAATTGTTGACAAAATCACAGTTAAAGTGACACTCAATGCGCTCGCAATACAACTGAACGGCTATTGTGTGACTGTTTTGCGCCAAAACATAACAAACAGTGCTTTGGCTTACAGTCAACGCCCGCTATAATACACGCGTTATGTTAATTAAATTGTAATAAGTTTCATATAAATATTTTCTAATTATTTTAAGCAAACATTTATTTATAAGTTGCTTACTTGGTTATACATTTTATATTTAACTAGATTAATTAAAAATATGCTGGTTAACTAAGTTTGTAGTAGTTATGTTACTATAATGAGACTATATTGTAATATAATATGCGCATGCGTATACTAATACCTGACAATGTATTGCGTTATTTGAATGTTTGGCATAACGTATGCACTTATTTCATCATATTTTTTATACTTGCTCAATATTCAGTTTGCTATTACAGTAACTATTAAACATTTCAAACTAGCACAAACAAAAACAACAATGATTAAATCATTACCAGTGTGATTTTATTATTTGTAATTTTAATTGTTTATTGTATATATACTTTTTTTTTGTAAACTGATTTAAAACTTTTTAATTTTTATGTAATTTTTATTTTCTATAGTATTTTCTATACCTGTAATACAGTAGCACTAACTTTTGTAAAAATGCATTTTATTGACTACAAGCGATAAATCAATTTACACTATAATTGTGATATATTTTTATGATTATATTTTATTTTATATTATTGTATTTGTATTAAATTAAAAAGTTATTTAATTTAAACGTTTTCACAAAATATTGTTTGAAATATTTAAATGAAAAGTTTATTGAATTGTTCAAAAATATTTTAATAAAGTCTTTATGACTCATAAAGTTTATGAGACAATTGGTTGCCATCTATGTTAGAGATAATTCATTACTTTAATACATATATCACACAACAGATGGCGAAACATGTTAATTCGTTAATACATAATTTAATTCATGTATGATTTGCATGATTAAGTTTTTAACTTTAAAATTAATTATTCTCTATCGTTTAAAATCAAATTTATTTACTTTTAAAAATATATCTTAATTACATTTTTTCAAAAAATTTATTTACCATAACTTATATATATTTAATTCATTTTTCATAAATGAACAAGGGTAAATACAAATAACAATAAAACATAACACCGATTATCACTAAATTTCATAGCCATTGATGACTTGACTATCAACTCCGGGGTATAGTTATAGTTCCCATTCTTATTGCACATAACATACCGGTGCTCATCCAAACTCCATACATCCACTGCGCTGCCATTCACCCTACAGTAGGCATTCCTTAACTGCTTTTCATACAAATCCCTGTCCCGTATAATCCACGCCATACGGCAGTCACACACCAGTGGATTACCGGATAAGTCGATCACATTTCGCGTATCACTGGACAGTATGGGCTCAAACACATCCCTTTCCAGCCCAGACATCTCGTTATACATAAGCATGAGATGCACCGGGCGTTTGGTCTCCAGAAAGGAGCCGAACTCAAAGCTACCGGCGCTCAGCTTATTATACTGTAGGTCGACGTGTAGCATGTGATTGGCCGGCATTTCAAAGTCAAACGCGTGGCCCTCCACGCGGGACAACCTCCCGGAGCGCACCGTAACGTACCGTAGATTATGTAACTCGTAGAAGGCATAGTTGGGTATAGTATGTAGTAAGGGTGCTACCAGGGTAAACTTCTCAAACTTAGCCTGCTTATACCCGTTACTGGAGCCCACGAACGCGTAACTCGGGAACACCTGTAGCCCCGGGAGGTCCAGCGATATCTCCCTCACGTTTAACAGACTACTTAAGGCGTCAAACAATTGGTTCAAGTAATTGATGCCGAGTTTTGTATCACCGGTTTGGCTGAACCACAGAATATTCTTTGCCGTCCTATTAAACGAATTGGACTTTATTTTAGCCAAATTCCGGGCGTTACTGATCGTAACGTTCTCGAAGGTAATGTCGGCGAACATACTGTCCTCCCACTCCTCGATAGCCGTGTTCTCGAAGACAAAGTCCCGGAAGTGTTTGGACCGGCGGTCCGGTAGCCGGACGGACAGGTCGTGGAATATATGCCGTAAACTGTATTTCATGTGTTCGCCGCACGTGATGACCGTGTCGTGGGAGCACCGGCACGGGTGTATCACACGGGTAGGTGGACACTGGCCGGCTGTCACTGACTGTAATCCGGGTCCGTTTGGCTGATACAGTAGACACATGTGTAGAGTAATCAGAATTCTGGACATAATTCCTGTTTAGTGTCAACACATGTGTTGTGTGTTTGTTATGCGAGTGAGAAATGAAATGAATTAGTATTTTGACGACAAAATTGTTATATAAATCAATAAACGATGAGATAATACGAGACATAAATAAGTAATCATAGGAATTGCGAAATATATTTGCCTATATGAAAACTCGCATACAGTCTACTTTTGGTACACAAGTTATTGAAACTAACTATTGAAATTAACTAGGCACATAATATCTTAAATGATAATTAGATACTGTATAACTGAGTTAGAAAGTGCACTAAATATATTATATATTAAATAAATATAACATAAATATAACATAAATAAATTTAAACAGTAACGAGAATATAAACTGTAAATTAGAAAGTGATAAAAATATTTTAAATATAAATAAAAGTAAAATTATTTTTATATTGGATACCCTTCAATTATGAAATTATTTTATTTATGTTGATTAATAATTATTATTCATATTTACTATTTATTTTGAACAAATATTTAAATATAAAAAGGTTTACAAAAAATTATTAAAAGTTACTATCTCATATTTACTAGTATAGGATGTTGTTAAACGTTATAAATAAAGTTTTTGTGCTAATGAATAGGAATATTCAACAAATATTTATTCACTATTGGTGTGGAAAACACTATACAAATGAGTTGCTAATAAGCAATGAATACTAATGAGTATTATATGGTATACTAATCACGATTCCGTATAATTACTTATTATTAATCAAATATTCTTACCGGAGATAAGCATTTTATTTAGTATGAAAATAAGCATTTATTAAAACTATTTTATTATTAACTAAACAGTAATCCCAAAAATGTTTGTTATGTTTAAAATATTCTTTAAAAATCAATTGAATTTCAAATATGATAAATATTTTATTAGAAATGAAATCACAGAATATTCTCTATTATGTTGTTATATAGAGTTTTCGCAGAGTTTGCACAACAAATGAGTTTCAGAAATAAAACTAATCTTAAAATTTGTTGACATAAAAGCTAAGCATTAGTGACACATAAGTTGTATATAAAGAAAATATTCTCTATATTTGTGGTGAATATCGCAAACACTTATACACAATATCTTTATATTTATTTTCAGTAACTTTTATTTAAACACTAAATCCATTCACAAATCAATGAAAACACTGAAACAAAAACTCTTTTCACAACAAATGCCGAGAATTTCATTTTAATAAACAACACATAAAAGTGAATATAATAGCGAATATAATAGTGAATAAGCAATGATTTATGATAAGCACACACAGAATATTCTGGTGAACTTTTAGAGTCTATTAGATATATATATTTATTTTATCTAAAAGTCCAACACTTTTCGCATTTTCTCTCTCAACACATATCTCAAGTGAAGTATAACTAATGGTCTGGTATGTAGTCAATGGTATGGTAGGGTATGGCATGCGATGAATGCATACACACATCTGATGGCATACACCGTATAATACCCATAGACTTGAGGCACATATTTGGGTGCCGACGACGACGACGACTAGTCTAAGAGTGGGCTGTCTATTGATTTTTGCGCCGCACATACACTACTAGCCCCCGATAAACACCATAAGCTTTGTAAAGTTAACAAATAACAGTGAGTGAGTGTGTGTGTGTGGAGGGGAACGGTAGTCATCGGTTGGTCATACGAATGCGCACCAGTAGGCGATTTATTCTTGTATACTGTGTATATACATCCGTATATACAATACATATTAGTTGTATTGTTTAGAAAAGTATTAAAGCCTTTCATAAACAGAAGGGAGAGAGAGAGAGAGAGAGAGAGAGAGAGAGAGAGAGATTGTGTGGACAGTGCCGATGGTGTCGACCCCATCCACACCCCCATCAATATTATACTCGATTCCCTTTAGCCGCTCATAAACTGCTGCTATTTGTGTCGATCATAATTCAAATGATTATTATTATTGAAAGCTTTTGGTGTAAATCGCAGTCAACTCTACTGTAAATCTACTGAAAGTCTAATGCAATCGCTATTAACAATCAAAACCCATTTATTAATACACTTAAGCTCTCACTACAGTAGAAGTGTATTGTTTGATAGTATGATAGCTCTCTCACAGCTCTCTCTCTCTCTCTCTCTCTCTCAGTTCTCTCTCTCTCTCTCTCTCTCTCTCNTAAATAATTCTATAGAAATATTACAATATATTTAAGGTTTCCATTCACTAGTATTGTACTGTATGCTCAACTATAGCACCAAGTACGATAATATTTTATAAAACATAATTATTTAAACTTTGAAGGTTTAAGTTAATCTGGAACAATTTTATATAATAAAATAGAAATATTATTTTTAGAAACCTCTCTCAAAACAACAGAATATTCTGTATCTTTCATTCTTACACTTTATTTAATAACTATTTTTCTGATCTAAATGTTTGTTAAACATAATTTAATATAAAAGTGTGCATTAATTTAATTTGTTATTTCAAGTTATTATAATAATAAAATTAACTTACAAAAAACCCTCTATGAATATATTCTACTTTTTAACTTAATCTCTATGAGTGGGCGAACACTCGTAAATAGTTAGCAAAAAAATGAGATTTATTTAAAGAATTTATGAAATATAATAATATTCTTTACACAATGAAAAATATTTATTCATTTATT